AAATAAATAAATAAATAAATAAATAAATAAATAAGTGGAAATTACTGGTAGGTTCTTTGATTAGACATGATGATGTACAAGTAGGAAACTAAAGGACAAGCCAGCAGAGTTGGGCTTTAGTTTGTTGTTTTTGTTTTTAGGTTTGTTTTTTATTCTGGAAGAGCAGGACAGAGACTTAAGTGGTTATCGGAAGATCCTGTGGTGCCACTGACTTTCCCAGGATACTTGTGCAGTATCATCTGGAGGTAGGCAAATCATATATGCTCCTTGTAAGGGAACCAAACCTGGGGTAAACACTGGGACCCCTGAAATTAGACTCTTCAGTATATATTGGGCTGTTAATATTTCATGCTTTCTTCGTTCTCATTTAAAGCAAATATACCTTCTGTACATATAAAAGAATATTTTTATTGGATATCTTACTGTGTGATCTGTAGTTTCCATTCATAACATTTCTGTGGCCAGTCCGAATTACCATTTGAGAGAGTTCTGCTTTATACAACAAGCAATGTAGCTTATTTGATAGTGGCTAACAGTATTGTGAGAATCTAGGCAATACTTGTTTATTCAGCAAATCATGGATAAACTGTAGCTTCATACAGTGAGTGAATCCAGTCACCATGTTGAGTGCTTGTACTCAAAATACTACCTTGCTTATATGTGTGTTGAATAAGAGTAGTCACACATCTAACAATCTGAGTACACACATGCTAAACCATAGTATATGTATTTGGAACTTAGCATGTTATGTTGATCTAACCATTGTAGTTGGTAAACCATGATTTATGGCTCAGTGCAACACATGAATCTATTACAGGTAGTCCTCGCTTAATGACCATTCATTTAGTGACATTCAAAATTACAACAGTGCTAAAAGTGACTTATGACCGGTGCCTGAACTCACAACCATCGGAGTGCCCCTGCAGTCACGTGATCTCGATCTGGGTGCTTGGCAACCAGCTTGCATTTACGACAGTTACAGCGTCCCAGGATCACGTGATCACCATTTGCAGCCTTCCCAGCTGACTTCCAGGAAGGAAAATCAATGGGGAACCTCATGATTCACTTAACAACCATGTGATTCTCTTAATAGCTGCTGCAAAAGTTGTAAAATCAGGTTTGGTCATGTGATGATTCACTTAACAACCGCATTGCTTTGCAACCTAAATTCCTGTCCCAATTGTGGTCGTTAAGCAAGGACTACCTGTACTGTTTAACAGTGATTAATAGTATTCTCTTAGCTAGATTATAAAACAATGTTATTGTTTGGTTTGCCTTATCATGGTATATGAACCCAGTCAGCAGTTTTCTTTTGGATGAGAGATTTCAGAATTATTTCATAATAGTTTTCCTCAGTTTTGTGCTTCTGATAAATAGAGGTGTAGCTGAGCCGTTTAAACCAAAAGAGAATTAGTTGCATTGTACTTTTTGATTGTTGAATTAAAGAAGTTCAAATATTCAGCCTTTTTTCATTTAAAAGTAGCACCACTGGTGGATATTTTCTTTATTTATTCTTGCTATGTAAACCTAAGTATGCAAGCCTCTCTCCACCACTGCTTTGACTGTTGATTTTAACTAAAAAAGTCATTCATAAAGGATCGCTTAAATGCCTAGGAGAAAGAATTGGAATGCAGAGTGGGCACAACCTAGACATTCCTGGGGGGAGTGTTGGTGTTTCAGAGCTCTGGATGTAGGAATCTACCCTTGATGTGGTACATATTTTTCATCTCCCCATCCCTTTCAGTCCTCCAAACTCTTTACTAAGGAATAGGTCTATTTCACCTGCTACGTATACCATTTTAGCGAACAAAATAACATATCAGAATAATATATTGTAAAAACGTTCTGAGTTATAAATGTAAATTTGACAATCTTGCTTATGAATACATTACAGAGGTATGTGTTTTTTCCAAGCACCAAGAACAGAGATCAGATTTTGACAACTCCTTTGTATCTTTCTTAAATAAAGCAGTGCATTTCTCTAACATTGGCTTGAGGGAAATAAAACAAAGCAAGAATTATTGGTGTGAAGTGAATGAATTGCTACTTCGTTTGTTCTGTTTAGTGATTAAAACCAGTGCCCGCATGTGTATTGTGCATGGCTTCCTTTGGTTTGGCTCACTCATTTACAAGTATCAATTCTCTAAAGTTTACACATCAGTGAGATTGGGGTCTTTGTCAACAATATATGGGTGGTTGGCTCCTTCTAAATGTTTGCTTGGAGAACTCCAAGCTCACCACCTCCCTTCCAGCAGAGGAAATGAACTGAGGATTTCACATTTACTTAGGTTTGTGCATATCCAAAAAGCTGAGGAGGGAAATGGGAATTCTTATTACAAAATCTTCATTGCGTTTGAAAGAAAGCGAAAGCAATTTGCCTATTTTATCAATTAGCAACTAACTTAGAGTGAGAGGCTTAACTAAATAATAGAATCGACCTATTAATTGGCCATGTAATATTTTATTAGAGACTAAATGCAGAAGAAACAATAAAACATTTGTATTAGGATCCAAAGAAGGGGTGGAATCTAGCTTGAAAATTAAGGCCTGGTTTTAATGTTTCCTGGTTTGTGTGTTTTTTACAATTCATCAAATAAAAATTATCTTTAGTAAAAGTGAAATGGCCTAGGTAGGTCTTTACTTTTCCTAGCTTATGTATTTATTTTTGCAAAGTATTTAATATTTTTATGTTTCCTATATATTTACAGTTCGGTTTTATGATTTTGAGGAGCTGACAAATTTGCTGATGAGAGTATTATTTTATCATTCTATTAATGATGAATTTGTAATGCTTAGGTTAAAAAAAATGATCTGCATTGCTGACGTTTTTATTTTAATCCTGTAATAGCATAATCTAATGGATACCACAATACCAGGAGCATATAGCAATTTATGAAATGAATGCAGTGAAAAAAATCTGCTCCATAACCTAAATCTTGTGCTATAGAGAAAAAGAAAACTTTCTCAAATTTTCTAGTCAATGTGACCAAAGCATTTTTTCTTTATATAGGAAACAGGCCTCCTGACCCTTATGTAGCACCTAACTAATGATTTCCTTCTATTTGTAATATTTTTAAATTCTATTTAATTAATTTAATTAACAATATTAAATATTCTATTTTTAATAAAAGCCCAGTCCATCCACAACAGAGTTCCTCACTATCTGGATATGTGTGCATTTTTAATGTATGGTTCAGACTGCAGAAGAGAAGGAGGGGTTATTGTGAAGTTAGGTCAGAGCTAGCCTGGGACAGAAGTGTACAGTTCTGGTAGTCAGAAGCTCTTCTTAGAATATATCCATTCTGAACCACTGAAAGGAAATTCAAAAAGGAGGTAAGTGCTTGCCATTTTAATCTGAATTATGGTTTAACTCTGTCTAATCTAGCCTATTGATATTTATATAGTTTATGGGGGTTGTATATACTAGCCTCATTTTAAATAGATCCTCTAGCTTTTCTCCTAGCCTGACAGTTGAAGTAGTAGAGCAACATCAAATCATTAACATTATTCTAAAAAATCTTTTAAGGAATTCCCCCCCCCCTTTTTTTGACTAGGCCTTATAAGAGCTGAACTTAGTTGGAAGTAATATGTAAATTCGTTAATGAAAGAAATTAATACCTTTTCTGAGGTTAAAAAAATATATAGTCTTACCTAACTAAGATGTTCAGTGGAAGGTAAAAAAGCTGAAAGAACTGTTTTTGCTGAATTATATAAATAGTGTGTTAGTTCAAGTGACAGCTCCTACTAGAAACTCTGTTCTCCTGGTATATGGGCTGCTGATAACAATTCAGCAATTTCATTAGTAAAGCACTGTATAGGTTTAGGTTAGGGGTTTAATCTGGAAAATTTTTTACAGGGTCATTACATTTACAATTGAGAAAATTATGGAAGCTCCTTGCCAGAGATTTGGAAGCACTGTGTTGCTATTTATGAAAAGCTGTGTCTGATAAAAAGCCTTGAAAATTAGATATGACTTATTTCTAGTACCTTTTGTCTTATTTGTTTTATTTAGTATCTTTTGTCTTAAAACAGCTATTAGATTCTTTTATCTATAGAAAGTATCTTGAATGGTTTCTACATGTAATTTTTAAAGAGTTGATATCTTTTTGTCCAAAATCTTGGCTGTTATTACAACTAAGATTGTACTAAGTTAGAGAATTGTATTACAAATAGTAGACGTTGTTTTAAAGGTGTGAGTATGCAAGTGATCTAGCTGCAAAAGTTAGATACGATGATTTGTGAGATAATATTTGGAAATAAAATAATAGCATTTTATAATAGCATTTTATAGCTTTTAAGGTCATTTTGAAGCTGAATTTTAAAACTGACAGATGAAGCAGACTTGACATGTATCATCTAAAAGAGTTACTCTGTGGAGCAACTAAACATATCAGTGTATTGTCGAAGGCTTTCACGGCCGGCATACAATGGCTGGTGTGGGTCTTTCGGGCTGTGTGGCTGTGTTCTGGGAGGTTTTTTTTCTAATGTTTTGCCAGCACCTGTGACCGGCATCTTCAGAGCGCAGGAGCACAGACAGGAGCAGTTCTCCTAAACATATCAGTATTTTTAGTTCTTTTGGGGGGGGGGTTGGGCATTTGCAAAACTCCCCTCTTCCCAGTTTTCCCCCACATATACAGGACTTGGAACGATGGAATTTAATAAGATACTTTTTTTCTTTTAAGTAGTAGATGAAAAATATCTAAAATAAAGAGAAATTGAAGATACTTTTTGTTTTATTCTTCATATGTATCTAGTTCATTCATTACAAGGATTAATTGCAAGTCAAATGTACTAACCTATATTGAATTCTTTTTAAATATAGGCATAAGCTTTATATAGTTCTATAAAGCAAACACAGAAAAGATTTATATGAATTTTCCATGCTGCCTTCTATCACATGACATGGTTTACGTTATAAATCCCTTTTCTTTTAGATGGTTGCCATGTGTATTGAGTTATGTGAATGATTTAGCTTGAAAGCCTCTACGAATATACTATTTAAAGCATGTATGCTCTTGCTTCAATTGTAAGATTGGCTCTATGCTCTAATATGTTAACCCATAACTGATGCCCTAGGACCCTATTTTATAAATGGTGGCATATTTATGTATCAGTGGTGGCAGCATCTAGGCCAGTGGTTCCTAACCTTTTCTGTGCCCCACACCCCTAGGAAATGTTTGATTAAAGTTTGCAGCCCCTACAAAAGTAATATCATATTTGAAGATGAAGAAGTCTAATTTCTAAT